AGAAGTGCGTTCTGGCTACTAGGTACGACATATATATATATATATATATATATATATATATATATATATATATATATATATATGAGTGATAGCACAAAAGGAAGTGATAGCCGAAGCTATTTGAACCACTTCCCTGCCGGCACTCAGATGGTAATCTTGGGCATAGCATTTTATCAAATCACCTCATTCTTTGGGGCACACGTGAGGAGCACAAATGCGAACAAGCCTGAATGTTCTCCATTCATGCCCCAATGGTCCACCCATCTGGAGTGTGAGTTTTTAGTTGCATATAGTCCTGAGGACCATTCAGGCTTGTTCGCATTTGTGTTCCTCACGTGTGCCCCAAAGAATGAGGTGATTTGATAAAATGCTATGATCAAGATTACCATCCAAGTGCCGGCGGGGAAGTGGTTCAAATAGCTTCGGCTATCACTTCCTTTTGTCCGGTCGTGATGGTCAAGTCGATTAAGGCGTCCTGTACATACCAGTTGTATTGCTCCTGGCAGTATGGGCTTGAGTCACTTCTGGGGTGTGAGTTTTCAGTTGCATATAGTCCTGAGGACCATTCAGGCTTGTTCGCATATATATATATATATATATATATATATATATATATATATATATATATATATATATATATATATATATATATATATATATATATAATATTTAAATGTTCATTTGTTCAAAATCGTTAATCTCCGAAAGCTCTTCCATATGACGCCTGGCCTCTTACGTCTCTTAACCTTACCATGCACGTATAACTTATCTTAACACTCCTCACCATAAAACTTACTAACTTAGTGGCCTGTTTTAATTGATTATCAAGGAAGGGTTAAGCAAATTGCTTTTTTGTGTGTGACTAGGTGCTCTGGTATCGTCAGTTGGCGGCCAAGAGCTGGGTGGCAGATGAGTCCACCTGGGTGACAGGGGTGGGGCCACCTAGGTGACGGGTATGCTAGCTGGGTGACAGGGTATGCTAGCTGGGTGACAGGGTATGCCAGCTGGGTGACAGGGTATGCCAGCTGGGTGACAGTGTATGTTAGCTGGGTGACAAGGTATGCCAGCTGGGTGACAGGGGTGTACTACCTGTGTGACAGGGTATGCCAGCTGGGTGACAGAGGTGTCCCACCTGGTTGAAAGGGGTGGTGGCCACCTGGGTGACAGGTGCCAGCTGGGTGACAGGTACCAGCTGGGTGACAGGGTGTGCCAACTGGGTGACAGGGGTGAACCAACCACCTGGGTGACAGACAGGCCACTTGGGTGTAATACCCGTTAATCTCCACTACCTGCTCTACTACTTCTATTGTACTAAACTAACGGATGCTCTACCGATTTTGTAATAGATTGACACGCGGGCGTCGTACGAGGAACTAAACAATCAACATAGACTGAGAACTGCGTAGTCAATTTAAGGGAGTAGAACGTGGGGGGGGGAGAGAGAGAGAGAGAGAGAAAGAAACGAATGAGGGAGAGTGAGAACGAATGAGGGAGAGCAAGATAGAAATATTAGTTGCTGCAGCCTCCGTATGAGTTACCAAGCAACGCTGCCACCACCCTGAGTTACCGGACAGGGGACCGGAGTGAGATTCGTAGGACTTGGAAATTGTGTAATCCAACCAGGACTGGTGTAAGGGACCACTGAATGGTGTGAGGACCCTGGCCTGTCACTCGCATAATCCTGACCACTTGGGGAACTATAAAGTACACAAGAATAAGGCGGGACACATCCAATACTAACACCTCAACAAGGGACGGACGGGGGGAGGAGGAGTAGTGGATAATTAAGGACACTACGTCACTAGGGCAAAGGGACAGTAGGCCCAATATCACTAAGACAAGGAACCATTAATACACACTTAATGACACTTGGCAATATATGGCTTGATTTGAAACACAATTAAATAAATACTTTCCTAACTATATTCCCTAATAGAGGCAAAGGATAAATGAGTGAAGGTGCTATAGTTCAAGAGAGCTGTACTTACTCGAGTGGTGACCCACCAACCCGTCCACTTAATAAAAATAACGTCGCCTTTCCCTCGTATGCGCGCTATGACCAAAAATGGACGACAATGACCCTGAGATGATGTTTTCTCCCGGTGTCCACCCACACCTTCCTCCTGGGCTTCTCCCACTACTGTCCCCTTCCATGATCTCCTGCTCCCCAGCTGAACATGAGGGGGTTAATCCCTGTAGATTATCATGACGGCATCAACTCTGACCACCTCGTCACTCGGTGACAGGTGTCCTGTCCCTCTGGTCAACTTCAGCAGAGGTGTGAATTTTCTATTGTCTGGCGCTGCCTGTCTGTCACTGCTCCTGTGGTTTGTTCATGCTGTTATTTATTTATTATTTTTTTTGTTTGACCCGTGGGGTGAGTTTATTAGGCAGCGTCAGCGCCACTCATCCTGTGAGTGGACACACAGCCATAGTGACAGTATTGGGCAGCGCCACTCATCCTGTGAGTAGACATCCCGTCAATGACAGTATTGGGCAGCGCCACTCATCCTGAGAGAGGACACACCGCCATAGTGACAGTATTGGGCAGCGCCACTCATCCTGTGAATGGACACACCGCCATAGTGACAGTATTGGACAGCGCCACTCATCCTGTGAGTGGACACACAGCCATAGTGACAGTATTGGGCAGCGCCACTCATCCTGTGAGTGGACACACAGCCATAGTGACAGTATTGGGCAGCGCCACTCATCCTGTGAGTGGACACACAGCCATAGTGACAGTATTGGGCAGCGCCACTCATCCTGTGAGTAGACATCCCGCCAATGACAGTATAGGGCAGCGCCACTCATCCTGAGAGTGGACACACCGCCATAGTGACAGTATTGGGCAGCGCCACTCATCCTGTGAGTGGACACACCGCCATAGTGACAGTATTGGACAGCGCCACTCATCCTGTGAGTGGACACACAGCCATAGTGACAGTATTGGGCAGCGCCACTCATCCTGTGAGTGGACACACAGCCATAGTGACAGTATTGGGCAGCGCCACTCATCCTGTGAGTAGACATCCCGCCAATGACAGTATTGGGCACCGTCACTCATCCTGAGAGTGGACACACCGCCATAGTGACAGTATTGGGCAGCGCCACTCATCCTGTGAGTGAACACACCGCCATAGTGACAGTATTGGGCAGCGCCACTCATCCTGTGAGTGGACACACCGCTATAGTGACAATATTGGGCAGCGCCACTCATCCTGTGAGTGGACATACCACCATAGTGACAGTATTGGGCAGCGCCACTCATCCTGTGAGTGGACATACCGCCGTAGTGACAGTATTGGGCAGCACCACTCATCCTGTGAGTAAACACGCCGCCATAGCAGCATGTACAACACTCCCCAATAGGAAGAAAACCCGCTGGGTTGTTCATCCTGTCACTTGTACCCAGACACAGCTGGGACTTGCTTAACTGTCTCAAGTGTACAGTTTATCAAACAAGAAGATTAACATCAGTCAACCCATAAAATCTTACGTTATCTTGCGGGTGCAAAATGGGGGAATTTTTAAGAACAGTATCAATATATGACAAATAGTGTCTTCCTACCTCGATGTGGGGTTTATTATTCTACACATATTTCTAATGTCTCTCAGGTGTTCACATTCACGTAAATAGTGGTCATGATGTTCGTGTTATTGTACTGTTTTGCTCTCTTGTTACACCAGATCAACACAAGACCACCACGGTTGTACCAGATCAACACAATTGTGTGGTTGGCAGGGTGTGGCGTCAGGTCACTGTGTGGTTGGCAGGGTGTGGCATCAGGTCACTGTGTGGTTGGCAGGGTGTGGCGTCAGGTCACTGTGTGGTTGGCAGGGTGTGGCGTCAGGTCACTGTGTGGTTGGCAGGGTGTGGCGTCAGGTCACTGTGTGGCGTCAGGTCACTGTGTGGTTGGCAGGGTGTGGCGTCAGGTCACTGTGTGGTTGGCAGGGTGTGGCGTCAGGTCACTGTGTGGTTGGCAGGGTGTGGCGTCAGGTCACTGTGTGGTTGGCAGGGTGTGGCGTCAGGTCACTGTGTGGTTGGCAGGGTGTGGCGTCAGGTCACTGTGTGGTTGGCAGGGTGTGGCATCAGGTCACTGTGTAAACTTTTAATTAACGGTTTTCATGACGTTTTCAAACCTTAGGAGAGCTTCCTGCCCTCCTAACCTACCAGAGGATCCTTAACTTGCTGTTTTGGAGAAAAAAATAAAATTATTTTCAATTATTTTTAATTTTCAAATTACGGCCTTTTTTGACCGTAGCGCATACAAGGGAAAAGCGACGAAGTTTGCAAGGACAGGTTGGTGTAATGCCACTTGGTACTCTTCTTTTTCTTAATGCTAATTCCGACCCGCCCATGATGGGCATGAACCCAACTGAAATAACACTACAACCCTCGTCACCACACCCCACTACCAACCCCTATCTCCACTTGCCCCCACCACCACCCTTGTCTCGCTCTCCTCAACCCAAAAAAGTCATCATCATCATCATCACCGAGCGCTTTCCCCTAGGAGATGAGACGCCCACCCTGATCCGGTGCACTGTACCGGTAAGAGACGGGAGGCCTCTAGACAAGGCTCTCTAGCACCCAGCACTGTTGGGTGGGTAAACATTGGGCAGCAACGACAAGAGCCACCATGATCTACCAGATCAAGGTTCGATTTCAAGGGGACCGGAGCCTTACCCGGTCAGATATCTCTGACTTGATCAGCACAAAACCCAGTGTTGCACTGCTAGACGTCGTCGTCGACGATGGAGGTGGTCAACTGCAGCTCAGCAGTGCCGCAGCTGTCCAGGGTATATTTGACCCCAAAAACCTTACTGCTCTTGAGGAAGCGCACATGATCCTCACCCCACCACGACACTACCTCGCAGCCAGGACGGTGTGTGTCTGGAGAGTTAGCTCCCTACTCTCAGAAAAAGCTACCACCGACGTCGCCACAAGGGGACAAAAACCTGGAAAATGAAAGTTGTTGTAGGGCATTCAAAATTTATTATCCTGATACATGTGAAAGATGCTGCAACTGGGCAAAGTTTCAGCATCGCAGCCTAAATAGAGAGGGAGAAAAAAAAAATTTTTTTTTAGACAATTTTTCAACAATGTTCAAATCATTTCACAGCCCACAATTGTGAACCGAAATCATTTCTATGACACTTAGCTATGACCTTACTATATAATAAAGATTTGGATGATAGAATTTTTATTCCAGATGTATTTAGTGCAATAATACAGATTTTGTAAATTTCCCAAAAATCGTATGCAACAAAATGATGTTTATAAATATTTATAAAATCAATAAATCTACATAGAAAAGAAAAGCTATCATAGTTTTTAAGAGGCATAAAGTCAACATATAATGAGCAAGTTTCATGAAAATTGAATAATAAATATAGTCTGTGAAAGCAGATATAATTGTAAAATATTTACCTGCACAAACGAAGGTCAAAGTTCAGCCACCTTTAGCTGAGGTTGATGTTGACCAATATCATTCAAAATTTGCACCCTTGTAGATAGGCATGGGTTCAATAAGGTATGCAAGTTCCATGCAGATCGCTAGATAAATGAAAGAAAAAAAAAATATTAGAAAAAAATATATATATATTTGCCACCAGTTATATATGTACAAATATTTATGAAGTAATATCACAATATAACACTAAAACATACTAACCTAATATAATTGGTAAGAAATATGGGTCCTCAAGGTGGCACTGCAGTGGCACTAGTAGGCACCTTCGCCATTGCGAGGGTCAGCTCCCTCAGGGGCCATTCTTGGCTTGCTGGTGGGTGTCGTTGGTTTCTGCATCTCCTTGTCCTTCTTACTAAAGTACCAGTCCCGTATGTCACTCTGCGGTAACCAAGGAGGTTGGTCAGAGATCCCATCAGATACCCAGCATTGTAGTTGACAGCTGTCATTGTCATGGCGAATTCTACCATTACATTCTACCAGCACGTGATGTGCTGGGCCCTGCAACATCAAGTGCGAGAACGTCTGGAGTAGCAGGTGAAAGATCTGGAGTAGCAGGTGCAAGATCTGGAGTGGCAGGTGCAAGATCTGGAGTAGCAGGTGCATGATTTCGAGTAGCAGGTGCAACATCTGGAGTAGCAGGTGCAAGATGTCCCGTTCTCCACAACTCTTCTCTCGCCATCTTCCCTTCCAGTCTTCAGGGGGCATTGGGCCAACCTCGCCCCCTGTGACACTCGATAAAATCACCATTAATACTGCCAAATATAATGAGGCTCTTGGCTACCATTGGTAATATGTTAACTTTTCTTAATCAGAGTTAAGAATGGAAGTAACTGCAAAGGGCCTATTGGCCCATATTTCTTGATGCTTCTATATTGGTGCGGAGTCTTGAAGTGGGTAGAATATAGTTGTGCATTAATTGGCTGTTGATTGCTGGTGTCGACTTCTTAATGTGTAGTGCCTCGCAGATATCTAGCTGCCTGCTATCGCTGTATTGCAGTTACTTCCATTCTTCCCTTTAACTTACAAAATATTATACCCATTGTTTCGTGTTCTGTTGTGTGTTGAAAGTTTGTTTTCACCTCATCCAAAACTGTTGTAACATATCACCTCACCCAAATGCAGGTATAAAAAATCGAAGCTGTTTAAACTCTGTTCAGTTATAGTTGTGTGTGTGTAAACTAAAGTCTTTGAAAATGTAATAAGTTTTATGAAACGCATTCAAGTGTCGCATCAGACTAGAAATAAAAATGAATTTTGGAGAATTGATTTTTCAGTTACCATCAACAGTGAAAAAAAATATAAGAAACACTGAGAAAATTCGTGTTAGAATTATTAATCTTACTTTTTCGGTCAAATTTAATAATATATGTCTACAGGAAAGACTGCTACCAATATATATATATATATATATATATATATATATATATATATATATATATATATATATATATATATATATATATATATATATATATATATATTAAATATGACCGAAAAAGTAAGATTAATAATTCTAACACGAATTTTCTCAATCTTTCGTACATTTCTTTTCACTGTTGGAGGTAATTCAAAAATCAATTCTCCAAAATTCATTTTTATTTCTAGTCTGACGCGACACTTGAGCGCGTTTCGTAAAACTTATTACATTTCCAAAGACTTTACACATACACAACTGAATAGAACTTACATATCTCCGATTTGTTTATATCTACATTTGAGTGAGGTGGATGGGGTGAGGTGGTATTTAATAGGGTATTAATTTCATCAACACAAGACAGAACACGAAACAATGGGTATTGAAATGGAAGTGATTGTAGAAAGCCTATTGGTCCATATTTCTTGATGCTTCTATATTGGAGCGGAGTCTTGAGGTGGGTAGAATATAGTTGTGCATTAATTGGCTGTTGATTGCTGGTGTTGACTTCTTAATGTGCAGTGCCTCGCAAATGTCAAGCCGTCTGCTATTGCTGTATCTATCGATGATTTCTGTGTTGTTTACTAGGATTTCTCTGGCGATGGTTTGGTTGTGGGAAGAGATTATATGTTCCTTAATGGAGCCCTGTTGCTTATGCATCGTTAAACGCCTAGAAAGAGATGTTGTTGTCTTGCCTATATACTGGGTTTTTTGGAGCTTACAGTCCCCAAGTGGGCATTTGAAGGCATAGACGACGTTGGTCTCTTTTAAAGCGTTCTGCTTTGTGTCTGGAGAGTTTCTCATGAGTAGGCTGGCCGTTTTTCTGGTTTTATAGTAAATCGTCAGTTGTATCCTCTGATTTTTGTCTGTAGGGATAACGTTTCTATTAACAATATCTTTCAGGACCCTTTCCTCCGTTTTATGAGCTGTGGAAAAGAAGTTCCTGTAAAATAGTCTAATAGGGGGTATAGGTGTTGTGTTAGTTGTCTCTTCAGAGGTTGCATGGCGTTTCACTTTCCTTCTTATGATGTCTTCGACGAAACCATTGGAGAAGCCGTTGTTGACTAGGACCTGCCTTACCCTACAGAGTTCTTCGTCGACTTGCTTCCATTCTGAGCTGTGGCTGAGAGCACGGTCGACATATGCGTTAACAACACTCCTCTTGTACCTGTCTGGGCAGTCGCTGTTGGCATTTAGGCACATTCCTATGTTCGTTTCCTTAGTGTAGACTGTAGTGTGGAAACCTCCGCTCTTTTCCATGACTGTTACATCTAGAAAGGGCAGCTTCCCATCCTTTTCCATCTCGTAAGTGAAACGCAGCACGGAACTCTGCTCAAATGCCTCCTTCAGCTCCTGCAGATGTCTGACATCAGGTACCTGTGTAAAAATGTCGTCAACATACTTGCAGTATATGGCCGGTTTCAAGTTCATGTCGACTAAGACTTTTTGCTCGATGGTACCCATGTAGAAGTTTGCAAACAGGACACCTACGGGAGAACCCATGGCGACCCCATCTACTTGCTTATACATGTGCCCATCCGGGCTCAAGAAGGGTGCCTCTTTAGTACAAGCTTGGAGTAGTTTCCTCAGAATATTTTCTGGTATGTCAAGAGGAGTACAGGCTTGTTTGCATTTGTGTTCCTCACGTGTGCCCCAAAGAATGAGGTGATTTGATAAAATGCTATGCCCAAGATTACCATCCGAGTGCCGGCAGGGAAATGGTTCAAATAGCTTCGGCTATCACTTCTTTTTGTCCGGTCGTGATGGTCAAGCGGATTAAGGCGTCCCTGTACATACCAGTTGCGTTGCTCCTGGCAGTATGGGTTCGAGTCACTTCTGGGGTGTGAGTTTTCAGTTGTATATAGTCCTGGGGACCATTCAGGCTTGTTTGCATTTGTGTTCCTCACGTGTGCCCCAAAGAATGAGGTGATTTGATAAAATGCTATGCCCAAGATTACCATCCGAGTGCCGGCGAGGAAGTGGTTCAGATAGCTTCGGCTATCACTTCTTTTTGTCCAGTCGTGATGGTCAAGCGGATTAAGGCGTCCCTGTACATACCAGTTGCGTTGCTCCTGGCAGTATGGGTTCGAGTCACTTCTGGGGTGTGAGTTTTCAGTTGTATATAGTCCTGGGGACCATTCAGGCTTGTTTGCATTTGTGTTCCTCACGTGTGCCCCAAAGAATGAGGTGATTTGATAAAATGCTATGCCCAAGATTACCATCCGAGTGCCGGCGAGGAAGTGGTTCAGATAGCTTCGGCTATCACTTCTTTTTGTCCAGTCGTGATGGTCAAGCGGATTAAGGCGTCCCTGTACATACCAGTTGCGTTGCTCCTGGCAGTATGGGTTCGAGTCACTTCTGGGGTGTGAGTTTTCAGTTGTATATAGTCCTGGGGACCATTCAGGCTTGTTTGCATTTGTGTTCCTCACGTGTGCCCCAAAGAATGAGGTGATTTGATAAAATGCTATGCCCAAGATTACCATCCGAGTGCCGGTGGGGAAGTGGTTCAAATAGCTTCGGCTATCACTTCTTTTTGTCCGGTCGTGATGGTCAAGCGGATTAAGGCGTCCCTGTACATACCAGTTGCGTTGCTCCTGGCAGTATAGGTTCGAGTCACTTCTGGGGTGTGAGTTTTCAGTTGTATATAGTCCTGGGGACCATTCAGGCTTGTTTGCATTTGTGTTCCTCACGTGTGCCCCAAAGAATGAGGTGATTTGATAAAATGCTATGCCCAAGATTACCATCCGAGTGCCGGCGGGGAAGTGGTTCAAATAGCTTCGGCTATCACTTCTTTTTGTCTTGTCGTGATGGTCAATCGGATTAAGGCGTCCCTGTACATACCAGTTGTGTTGCTCCTGGCAGTATGGGTTCGAGTCACTTCTGGGGTGTGAGTTTTCAGTTGTATATAGTCCGGGGGACCATTCAGGCTTGTTTGCATTTGTGTTCCTCACGTGTGCCCCAAAGAATGAGGTGATTTGATAAAATGCTATGCCCAAGATTACCATCCGAGTGCCGGCGGGGAAGTGGTTCAAATAGCTTCGGCTATCACTTCTTTTTGTCCGGTCGTGATGGTCAAGCGGATTAAGGCGTCCCTGTACATACCAGTTGCGTTGCTCCTGGCAGTATGGGTTCGAGTCACTTCTGGGGTGTGAGTTTTCAGTTGTATATAGTCCTGGGGACCATTCAGGCTTGTTTGCATTTGTGTTCCTCACGTGTGCCCCAAAGAATGAGGTGATTTGATAAAATGCTATGCCCAAGATTACCATCCGAGTGCCGGCGGGGAAGTGGTTCAAATAGCTTCGGCTATCACTTCTTTTTTGTCCGGTCGTGATGGTCAAGCGGATTAAGGTGTCCCTGTACATACCATACATGGGATGAATTTGACTGCAGTGGGGTCAGAGGGGTCAAGAGAGGTGTTGGGGGAGATAAGCAGGGGCAGGGAGGGCTGATTTGGGGAGGGAGTGACCTGAGAAGCAGGTGTGAGCTGGTTAGCATGGGGTGGATTAGCACTGGGGTGTGTAGCTATGCTCAAATGGGAAGAGTTGTATTGTTTGCTTGCTCTGTGGGCTATCTGCTCCTCCTTCGTCTTGAATTGTCAATATATACGTTGTAGTAATTCTCGCTACCTCTGAGTAAGTGTTTGTGATGCAGTATGTAATCCACTGCCTCTTCGTTAGTGAACTGTACCAGGACAGGTCATTTCCTGTTACAGTTGTATGGCCCAATGCGTCGGTGGATTTGCACCTCATTCCCTGCCATATGGGCTCTCATGTCTCTCAAGATCCCCTGTAGCTCCCAATCTTCAATCTCCATCCTTTCCTGCCTCGATGGTGCCCTGGCTTCAAGCAATCCATGGATTATGATTGTCCTCTTCCTCAGTTCAGGGTCATGCTGGTGGCCCCCTCCCAGGCTGACCCCCACCCCTCCCACTCCCGCTACTCCACCTACTACTACTCCCCCTTCCCCTGCCAAGCTTCCCTTATTCCTGCCAAATTCATTAGTAAGCCTAGTTATTTCTCCTTGCCATTCTACCCTGCTTTTCCTGATTTCCTCTTGAATATAATCCATAAACTCTTGTTTGAGTCTTTGAACCTCGTCCTGTATCTTATTAATGACCTTCCCAACCATGTTAAAGACTGTACCTCTCTCAACCAGTTTAAGATAAAAACTAAACACTACCTAATAAATTCCCTGTAACCTACTTCACTCCCCTATTATCAACCCATGTCTGTTATTTTTTTTTAATCAACACTGTTTGTCAACCTATTGTATTTGTGCTGCTTTTTCAGTCATGTTCCCCTTTTTTTCTTTTTTATCTTTATTTGTATTTGTTCTCAACACTTTTTATTCTTTATGCTCAATTAGTATTAAGTTCTAGATATTAATGTTTTTCCTGCCCGAAACGCATTGCGTAATAGTGGCTTTAGGCATTGTATGTACTAGCTCTATCTATATATCAATCCATTAATGTAACATCACTTGAATGTATGTACCTTACCTGAATAAACATATTTATTTATATTTATTTATTTAAAGATTTCACTTTTAATCCCCTGGATTAGATCATTATCCAAACATCCCTCTTCTCTACAAATTTCCCAATCATCATCTCCACAAACCTATTTTCTTCAATCATAATACTGCTGGACCTAGATGCCCTTCCTGACTTAGTCATTGCTATAATCCAACCTTACCCACAGGGGTTCCAAGTATCTTACCGTCCTGCTAACACAGTAGGTGAGTGAATCTCCAAGCGTCTTCCCACGTGGTGTTGGCAAGGTTGCTGCCGGGGGTGAGGTCACGGTCAGAGGCGGTGAGGTCTGCTCCACACTGCCACAGTACTTCATCAACTATTTTTAATTACGCTACTTATACTGTTTTTCTTCACTACCTTATGGCTTTGGTCAAAACCCAAGGTTTTTTTCATTCACTTGTACACACTTTTTCACTTCGAAGTTGCCTGATTACCCCTCCCACTCTACTAGTGAACCAGGAGCTCCCAACCCGCGTCCACCCAACACGATGGTCACCACACAAGTGTGTAATTACCTAAGTGTAATTACCTAAGTGTAGTTACAGGATGAGAGCTACGCTCGTGGTATCCCATCTTCCCAGCACTTTTTGTCATATAACGCTTTGAAACTACTGACGGTCTTGGCCTCCACCACCTTCTCACCTAACTTGTTCCAATCGTCTACCACTCTGTTTGCGAAAGTGAGTTTGTATGTACTGATCATATCGCCTCTTTTTCTTCTGTCTTCCAGTTTTGGCATATTTAATGCCTCTAACCTCTCTTCGTAGCTCTTGCCCTTCAGTTCTGGGAGCCACTTAGTAGCATGTCTTTGCACCTTTTCCAGTTTGTTGATGTGCTTCTCAAGATATGGGCACCACACAACCGCTGCATATTCTAGCTTTGGCCTAACAAAAGTCGTGAACAATTTCTTTAGTATATCGCCATCCATGTATTGTGAGCCGCGTCCTTCACTACACTCGGAGATCTATGGTGAGCCGCTGTCCTCCACGGGTCCGTCTAATTACCCAAAACTTCCTAGCTTTGCATACTGTTACTCTGAATTAATAAAATTGTTTAACGAAATTAGAGGAAACTAAGAGGCAGGTGACGCCACAGGAAGTCGACGATCCAAACGACAATGTTGTGGCTTTGGGTAAATAGATGGACACAATTTCGTTATAAAATTATATTATTTAAGAGTAAAAATATGTTTTTTTTTTTCAAGTTGTACATTCAGCACCAACATTCTAGTGAGTAAATATATAATTTCTTCATTACTTGCGTAATGCTGGGAAGCTTTGGGTAATTAGACGGTCTCGGGTACGAGTATTTCCTGACATTTCTTCGACTCGTTGAAGTTTCCAGCCTGCACTATGTCCTCTAGTAGTCACATGGTCCGTCTAGCAGTTAACTCTACAATAAGAGAGAGAATTGCCTTCAAGATGCAATAGAGGGCCCATGAAAAGAGGCTCTGAACGGTTACCCCCCCCCCCTTTAATGCATTTCATGATTGCAATTATTAGTGAATACATACAGAGGGCCGTGACTGAATGGACAACGCTTGGGACTCGTAATCCTAGGGTCCGGGCTCGATTCCGGCCGCCGGCGGAAACAGATGGGCTGAGTTTCTTTCACCCTGATGCCCCTGTTACCTAGCAGTATATAGGTACCTCGGAGTTAGACAGTTGTAACGGGCTGCTTCCTGCGGGGGGAAGGGGGTTGCAAAAATATTAGTTAGTTACAGTTAACTGACAGTTGAGAGGCGGGCCGAAAGAGCAGAGCTCACGCCCCCGCAAGCACAACTAGGTGAATACACACTCAGTAGGTCTGAAACTGGTGCTGAAGGGAAGTATTTCTTAAACATACTTGGCGTAATTAATTTTGGATAATTGACTTGAACTTCATGATTCTTTGTTAAATATTTAGAACCCAACAAATTTTAGTCATATATTATATACAGACTTTAATGTTATTTAAATATAAGTTTTGTCATCTATGACTGACTAATATGTTGGAATGTGTTGCAGGGTTCAGTTATGAGGACGAACAGGCCGACCCCACGGCCTTCCTGGAGGCCATCGACCAGCTGGCTCTAGCCTTCTCCAGTAGGTAAGTACCCCCCTTCAACATGCTCCCCCTCCCTCTTCCCCAACCCCCTACTCCAGCACCCCCACCCTATCCAAACACACCCCTCAACCTCCCACCCGTTCTATAACTGCTGTTAGATATTGTGGCTTTTCTAGCATGCACACACATTATTATACTATATATATATATATATATATATATATATATATATATATATATATATATATATATATATATATATATATATATATATATATATATATATATATTGTGTGTGTGTAAATCACAAATTGTCATATATATATATATATATATATATATATATATATATATATATATATATATATATATATATATATATTTTGTGTTTGTTAACAAACAACACAGAAATCATCGATTGATACAGCGACAGCAGCGTGCTTGACATCTGCGAGGCACTACACATCAAAATGTCAACACCAGCAATCAACAGCCAATTAATGCACAACTATATTCTACCCACTTCAAGACTCCGTACCAATATAGAAGCATCAAGAGGAAGTATAGGCCAATAGCCAATAGGCCATTTGCAGTTACTTCCATTCTTCCCTTTCACTTATCCAATTTATTCCCATTGAACCGTGTTCTGTCTTGTGTTGGTCAAAAGTTTGTTCACCTCATCCAAAACTGTTTCAACATATCACCTCACCCAAATGCGAGTATATAAGACAAGCTTTTTAGCGTTAGAATTAGTAAAACTCTGTTGAGTGTTTTCAGGTTACAGTTGTGTGTGTGTAAACTAAAGTCTTTGAAAATGTAATATTATATTATATATATATATATATATATATATTGAATAATATTATACTATATATATATATATATATATATATATATATATATATATATATATATATATATATATATATATATATATATATATATATATGTATATATAGAGTATAATATTAGTGTGTGTACGTGCTATAAAAGCCACAATGAACGGATAGGTTATTATATATTACCGCGGGCTCACCATAGCCCGTGCTATTGGAACTTTTTGTTCCAGGTAGCGAACCTTAAACAACAAGGAGGATAGGTTATCTGAGTATGCTTTTGGGCTTGCAGCCGTCCTTAGAGTATTACACAAATTAGTGGAAGACAAGACCCGGCGGCAGCCGAAATGGGGAGAGGCAGAAGGAAGTTCTAGGGCGTCAGTGAAGAGGGAGGAACAGTCAGCCCAGAACAAGGCTGTCAGCCCAGAACAAGGCTGTCAGCCCAGAACAAGGCTGTCAGCCCAGAACAAGGCTGTCAGCCCAGAACAAGGCTGTCAGCCCAGAACAAGGCTGTCAGCCCAGAACAAGGCTGTCAGCCCAGAACAAGGCTGTCAGCCCAGAACAAGGAGATTTCGTAAGAAGGCAATATGAGACGTTAACAAAATAGGAGCGGAAGAGGGGAAATAAGTGACAGGAAGCACATGGTGAGAAATATAGATAACAATTATTAGGAAAAGTTTAAGCAAAAGGAAGAAGTGAAACAGTGAAGTTATCGGTCTGAACACACACAAGGATATAGAAAACAGACCGCATTATGGGCAAACTCTCATATTTCTCTCTGACAGTTCTGAATTAAAAGTTAAAAAAGAGAGACGGAGTTTTGAATGCTTATATGGGAACATTGACTGATAAAACATCCCTTAACCACTAACTACTAGTAATAGCCCAGATAATGTAGGGCAGACCAAATAAAAACTAGCCAAAAATAGAGAATTTTCTGGTAATTTAAAAAATTTATGCGTAGTTCATCATTATTGGTGGTTCTGTCAGTATATTATAACAAAGGGTAATAAATAATTTGTACAGATGGTGTATTGATTACACGTTCTTCCTGATACAGTCGGCTTGTGTGTTTATGCATGTCTGTGTGTTACAGTTGAGGCTCGCGTTCTCCCATATAAGGGAATTGTGTTGATGAAAACGATATTCTGGTCTGTGACTGCCTAGTAATCTATTGGGTCATGGAATAGCTTCGGGGACCAATGACTTTTAACATTTTGGTGGTGATGCGGTCAGATTACTGGACTTATCAAGGGTTTCATTGCTCCCTGGCAATATATATATATATATATATATATATATATATATATATATATATATATATATATATATATATATATATATATATATATATATATATATGTCGTACCTAGTAGCCAGAACGCACTTCTCAGCCTACTATGCAAGGCCCGATTTGCCTGATAAGCCAAGTTTTCCTGAATTAATATATTTTCTCTAATTTTTTTCTTATGAAATGATAAAGCTACCCATTTCATTATGTATGAGGTCAATTTTTTTTTATTGGAGTTAAAATTAACGTAGGTATATGACCGAACCTAACCAACCCTACCTAACCTAACCTAACCTATCTTTATAGGTTAGGTTAGGTTAGGTGGCCGAAAATGTTAGGTTAGGTTAGGTTAGGTAGATTAGATAGTCGAAAAAGCATTAGTTCATGAAAACTTGGCTTATTAGGCAAATCGGGCCTTGCATAGTAGGCTGAGAAGTGCGTTCTGGCTACTAGGTACGACATATATATATATATGTATACCATGTAAGCTGGTCAGCACTGCATTTCACCTAAACGCACATCAATCACATTATTTAAAAAAAAAACTTCCAACAGCTTATGTAGGACAGACTACGGGAGTGGGGTGTAGCTCTCAGTCCTCCTGGGGACGGGGGCTGGGGACGGGGGCTGGGGACGGGGGCTGGGGACGGGTTGGGAGTGGGGACGGGGGCTGGGGACGGGTTGGGAGTGGGGACGGGGGCAGGGGACGGGTTGGGAGTGGGGACGGGGGCTGGGGATGGGTTGGGAGTAGGGACGGGTTGGGAGTGGGGACGGGGGCTGGGGAGTGCCGTGAAGACACCCAAGTAACGAACACATTTTTCTCCCGGCGATTTAAAGCTTTCAGTGGAAAGAGGAAAGCTTAAGCTGGTTGCTGGAGCGTTGTCCAGGATTTACATGTTTTTAATAATGTTTACCCTTCCGGGGAGGCTCCCTGACCATGCTACACCACGCCTGGAGGCTCCCTGACCACGCTACACCATGCCTGGAGGCTCCCTGACCACGCCACACCATGCCTGGAGGCTCCCTGACCACGCTACACCATACCTGGAGGCTCCCTGACCATGCTACACCACGCCTGGAGGCTCCCTGACCACGCCACACCATGCCTGGAGGCTCCCTGACCACGCCACACCATGCCTGGAGGCTCCCTGACCACGCTACACCATACCTGGAGGCTTCCTGACCATGCTACACCACGCCTGGAGGCTCCCTGATCACGCTACACCATGCCTGGAGGCTCCCTGACCACGCTACACCATGCCTGGAGGCTCCCTGACCACGCTACACCACGCCTGGAGGCTCCCTGACCACGCTACACCATGCCTGGAGGCTCCCTGACCACGCTACACCACGCCTGGAGGCTCCCTGACCACGCCACACCATGCCTGGAGGCTCCCTGACCACGCCACACCATGCCTGGAGGCTCCCTGACCACGCTACACCATACCTGGAGGCTTCCTGACCATGCTACACCACGCCTGGAGGCTCCCTGATCACGCTACACCATGCCTGGAGGCTCCCTGACCACGCTACACCATGCCTGGAGGCTCCCTGACCACGCTACACCACGCCTGGAGGCTCCCTGACCACGCTACACCACGCCTGGAGGCTCCCTGACCACGCTACACCACGCCTGGAGGCTCCCTGACCACGCTACACCACGCCTGGAGGCTCCCTGACCACGCTACACCACGCCTGGAGGCTCCCTGACCACGCTACACCACGCCTGGAGGCTCCCTGACCAGGCTACACCATGCCTGGAGGCTCCCTGACCACGCTACACCATGCCTGGAGGCTCCCTTACCACGCTACACCACGCCTGGAAGCTCCCTGACCACGCTACACCACGCCTGGAGGCTCCCTGACCAGGCTACACCACGCCTGGAGGCTCCCTGACCACGCTACACCACGCCTGGAGGCTCCCTGACCAGGCTACACCACGCCTGGAGGCTCCCTGACCACGCTACACCACGCCTGGAGGCTCCCTGACCAGGCTACACCATGCCTGGAGGCTCCCTGACCAGGCTACACCACGCCTGGAGGCTCCCTGACCAGGCTACACCACGCCTGGAGGCTCCCTGACCAGGTTACACCACGCCTGGAGGCTCCCTGACCAGGCTACACCACGCCTGGAGGCTCCCTGACCAGGCTTCACCACGCCTGGAGGCTCCCTGACCAGGCTACACCACGCCTGGAGGCTCCCTGACCAGGCTACACCACGCCTGGAGGCTCCCTGACCAGGTTACACCACGCCTGGAGGCTCCCTGACCAGGCTACACCACGCCTGGAGGCTCCCTGACCAGGCTACACCACGCCTGGAGGCTCCCTGACCAGGCTTCACCACGCCTGGAGGCTCCCTGACCAGGCTACACCACGCCTGGAGGCTCCCTGACCAGGCTACACCACGCCTGGAGGCTCCCTGACCAGGTTACACCACGCCTGGAGGCTCCCTGACCAGGTTACACCACGCCTGGAGGCTCCCTGACCAGGCTACACCACGCCTGGAGGCTCCCTGACCAGGTTACACCACGCCTGGAGGCTCCCTGACCAGGTTACACCACGCCTGGAGGCTCCCTGACCAGGCTACACCACGCCTGGAGGCTCCCTGACCACGCCACACCACGCCTGGAGGCTCCTACTGAGGCTCTCACGTGTGATCCCTCCTACATGGTGACCTCTCACTGCACGTGGGGACCTCTCACTGCACGTGGGGACCTCTCACTGCACGTGGGGGCCTCTCACTGCACGTGGGGACCTCTCACTGCACGTGTGGGGGGACCTCTCACTGCACGTGGGGACCTCTCACTGCACGTGTGGGGGGGACCTCTCACTGCACGTGTGGGGGGGACCTCTCACTGCACGTGGGGACCTCTCACTGCACGTGGGGACCTCTCTCTGCACGTGGGGACCTCTCA